AGAGTGCCCTAGATGAGGGTCTTCTACCTCAAAGACGGGTTCACGTGGAAAATTCAGAGCCTGACAGTGAACCTAGGAGTCTCAAGGACCTGGAAACCAGCCTCAGGACAACTGGTTAAGGATTAGTCATCTCAAAGATGATTATGAGAAAGAAAGAAATGATGGACCAAAGAAAACGCAGGAAGACAAATGCAGAAAATGAATTCCAGAAGTCATTAAAACATTGTGAGTTTTATTCTATTCAAAAAAATATTGGCTGCCTGGGATAGACCCCCATACTGCTTCCACTCCTGCAGCCGCTGAGGGATGAGTCTCCAGTGATTGTGTTTCCTAGCAACAAGGGAGAACAGTTAGTGCATTACCAATGCATTAAACACCTGCTTGGTGCTTTGCATTTGCCACATGAGCTTTACAACTGTTGGGCAGAGAATAATATTCCCATTTTGTAGAAGAGACGAAGGTCTGAAGCACTTAAATAACTTGACTCGCCAGTGGGTGGCAAAGCTGGTCATGAGCCCTCTCCTTTCAGATTCCAAATGCCATGTTCTTGTACAAGTGAAGATAAAACAGACAAAAACCAGCGCCACATGCAGCAGCAGCAGACCTCCAGCAAGAGCTAAGAGGAATGTGGCTGGAAGACATTTTCAAAAGAGAAGCAGGGACATTGGCATCCAGTCTCTCTGGTTGTGAGACAGATGGGGCAGGGCAGGGAAGGGGAAGGATTCCCCGTCAAATTGTGAAGTATCTCATGCCTATCGACTTTCACCAAAGGCTTTGGAAAGGTGCTGGTGCTGGAGTTGGTAAAGAAAAAGGAAAAAAGGGAAGATGAGGCAAAGGAGAATTCACTTCAATCTGGGAATTTCTTTATTTTCAGCAAAAGTACCTACTCAGAGGGTTCTTCTGAGAATGGAAAGAGATAATATATGTAAAATGTTTGGCTGACTACAAAACCAAAAGGCCAAAGTCTTCCTGACAAGAAGCTTTCTCTACTTCCAGGCCAACAAACAAGCAGTCAGCACCCCTTACTATATGGATCTTCTCTGACAATGTACATAGTACAGTGTAGAAGAATCCATATTACTGCTCCCTGGTGTCTTGGTATGCAGTGACAATAGGTTGGGAGTTTGGTTTCCTTTCTAATCTTCTAGCAGCTGAGAAGGGGGACGCCAGTAACCCACAGGGAACCTGCCTTAGATAAGCCTGCCAGTAAAGTCCTTGGCAACAACACCCCAACATACACAAAGAAAGGTTCTGTCTTATCTTCTCTTATATCACTTGGCCTAAAGCCTACCTCCACTTCAGGGCCCACCATTAATAGCTAATTCAGTCATTCAGGGTTATGAGAGCCACCTTACCTGATCAGCCTTTCTTCCAATAGGAGCCTTTTTTCTTCTCTGTTCCTACCCCCATAACTCTTGCCTTTTTATTATCAACCATTTTGGTGGCTAGAACAGAGGAAACCAAATAGTCCCCCTTTATATCATTTCAAAAATAAGGCTAGTAGCTATTTTTCTCAGTCACCAGATAAGTGACCTTAATTAGGAAGAGAGTACTTTGATTATTGACAAGGCATCAGTAACATTGAATCAATGAACATATATTGTGTAAAGAGGATGTGGGCCTTCTGTACACCAAGATCGATTTTAGATGGTTTTACATGTCTCATTTAATATTTTTAACACTGTGTTAAGTATTATTCCATTTTATGGGTAAAGAAGCTGAGAAAAGAAAAAACAAATTGCTCAAAGCTACATGATCCACAAAGGGCAGAGTCCAAACTTGAACCCAGGGATCCTTGATTCCATTCTGGGGTCTTTACCTTAGACCACACTGCACTCTGTTATAATGGCTGGCTGAAAAAGGCCCGTGTTGAACCTGCAGTGGTAGGTACCTAAAGAGCAATTTAGGTTTATCTCCAGCTATCTCTTTTTCACTCTGTGTTTGGGCTGGTTAACGGGCACACTGCCTCTGCCCATTTCTCAGAGAAGGAGAGGTGCAGATGTACTGGGAGATCTCGCTGACTCTCTCAGACTATGTAAATTCAAGATCAGGAGGGTTTCTGTGACAAATGAGATTCCAACTTCTCTAGAGCCTCCGGATGCTGGGTGCTGGGAGGGTCTGACACTCTTCATCAGACAGCATTTCCTAGGATGTGATGCAACCACTAACACCCCAGTCCCCAGATACATCCATTTAACAACCTGGTGAAGGAGAACCACAGCAGTCTAGTAAGTGCAATAGGAGCGCACACCACCACATCACACAATATGAAAAAGCATGCTAAGATCTGGTTGCAGGGCAGCAAATCACAACTGGGGTCAGACAGTCTGAGTTGGATGACTCCTCTGCACATACTTGGGCAAGTTACTTACCTCCTCCAGTCTTGCTTTCCTTATCTGAGGCAATAGTACCTATCTCATAGGGGTTTTCTAAGAATTGAGAGAGATTGCATATGTAAAATGTTCTTCAGAGTACAAAAGCGAAGAGCCCTGGGAATAGAATGCATTCACTTCTAACTAAAACTTGCCTCAGTTAAAACAGGAGAAATAACAGCTCTTAGATTTCAAACAGCTAGACTGCTGTGGGTCAGAGGTCAAGTGTTAGTGTCTTGGTGAAGCTATTAAAAGTATGTAAGCTCTGTGAGCACAGAGATCCTAGGCCCTACACAATGCCTGGCTCATAGTAGGGCTCAATAAATATTTTATAGATGAATGGATAGAAGGATGGATAGAAGGATGGATGGATGGATGGATGGATGGATGGATGGATGGATGGATGAATAGGTAAATGGGCCAAAAACCAAAAGTGCTTCTTTTCTATTATAAAGAGGGCTCCCACTGATCTCCTGTGCCCCTCTCTCAGTGAATGGCATCTGCCATCTACCATGCTATATAAGACAAAAAGTTGGTGTGTTACCTAGTACTCTTTCTCACTCACTCCTTAACCAACCAGTGCTGGGAATTCCACCTCCTAAATTTTAGCTTGTGAATCCATTCTCTTCTCCTGAACTCTATTGTCACTGCTTTTGTTCCAGGCCCTTCCCAATTATCTCTTGAATTTCTATACATCTCCAAACTATTCTCTGAGCTGGCTTTTAGTCTGTACCCACTCCCTTCCAATCCACTCTCTACATACAGAGTGATCTTTAATAGGACAAACCTGATAAGGTCACTAGTGCCACCACTCTCACCATTAAACCCTCTTAAGGATGATCCATGGCAGACTATAGACTTTAAGATAAAGCCCAAACACTGAAGTATCGCATCCCCAACCTTAATAATCTTATTCCTGTCTGCCTCTCCAGCCTTACTGGCAAATGCTCCCTCTTGCCCTGAGCTATTGTCTTATCTTCTTCCTCTACCTGGAATGTTCTTTCTTCACCTTCTCTATTCCCTTCTACATCCTTCAGAATTCAACTCTGGCATTGCCAGCCTAGGATCCTTCCTCTAACTACCCTTGACCCCACTAAGAACAGGATGTCAACTCCTCTTAGCTATTCCCAGTACTAACTGCTTAGCTCACAACACTATAGTCTGTTTCCTTTCCTGATTTTCCCAGGTGCCTGGCTCATGGAGGGTTTGGTTTTGTTCTTCATTGTAGCATCAATAGACGCCCATCTACTCCTGGCACAATGAGTGTTTCTTAAATTGATAAATGCTTCTTTTCACACCAAACATGTACTTTTTCAGAAGCATAGTTTCAATCAACATCTTTGGATAATCACGTGATCAGTCAAGATAATTAACCAAGGATTAAAGTGTGGTCTATGACTCTGGAAAAATCTATTAGGTTAGACATGTGAAGAACATATGTTTTCACTCAAAAGTCAAGACACATGATCTGACAAATATAATCACATCTCTCTGCCCCAGGAAGATTTGAATGTAAAATTATGTGACTACTCAACCTGATCTGTCATTTTTGCCTTACTATGTTGTCTAAATATGCCAATGCAAGACATTAAAATAATAGCTAAAAGTAGCTAACATACTTGCTAAGTTTAATATGAAGTTGCAATCATCTCATCTAATCTCAACTATGCTTTGAAGCAGATCTTTTTACTATCTCCATTTCACAGATGAGGAAACTGAGGCTTAAAAACTTGCCAAATGTCACTCAGCCAGCAATGGGTATCTAAGAGGCAATGGACGAGTAGTCAGTTTGATCCTTTCAGTCATCCTTCAATATTGACCTAACTATGACCTCTTAACCTTATTAGATCTTCAAAAGAGTCACTTTTAGACAAAAATAGCTTGTGGCTTCCGGAAATTTTTATTAAAACTCTAAATCTCCTGGCAATAACTTTCAAAAGTCATGATTCAGACCTGCAGTGATATTTGAAAATGGAATCACAAAGCAGGTCTCCTGGCTACAGAGATGCTCACGCTGCTGGAGAAGAATGCTCAACCTTGACATTTATGACAATCTGTGTTTTTCCTGTTATTGGGTCTTTTGCCATCATTTTCTATTGAAAGACACTGACCCTCATTCTATCCTCCCTGAGAAATCCTCTCTTTCAGACTTAATCAGAATGTTTTCTTCCTCAGTTGTTATTTCATTGGGATCTACAGCAATAATGTTTCTGAAAGTTATGACAACTGACCCCCTGTGTAACATTCTTTATTACCTGGGCACTCACAAAAATGCATATTCCTGGGCCCCATCCCACAATTATCACATAAATCTCTGCACATAGGAGCCCAGGAAACCGCATTTTATTCACATCCCTCAGGTAATTTTTATGAATTTTTATTAGAATCACAAATGTAGTCTCCAGGTGCTCACAAGTTCAAGTATGGTCCCTGGACCAGCCTCAGCAGCTCAAAGTTTGGGGAAAATAAATTTTAACAATTCATCCCTAATCATTTGATTAACAAGTGCTGAAAACAGAAGCTTGGGGAGTGCTAAGGAGTTGGGCCTCCAAGCCCCGACTGTGCAGCTATTTTACATAACCATCTCAGATACAGAATACTGAGCCATGTCTCTGCTTCATGGTCCAGGATGAAGAACAAGCTGTGGTACTTTGAATTTGGCACCTCGGAGACCTTCGCAGCCACCTGCAAGAAACTCCATGACCACATAGAGCTGGAGGTAAGTCCCCAAATGGGGAGAAAGCTTCTTGGACCTTGGTTCTGCTCCTGAACTGTCACACACACCTTCAGGACATGTCCCCATGGGCCCTTAATTGGTGACCCAGAGTGTAATCTGAATGTTGTACCTCCATCCTCTGCAGCCTCTCTCAGAGGAGGCTCTAATTGCTGCACCAGCCTGTCTCGGCCTGTCCAGGGACCCTTGGGGTTCTGAGGTCTAATGGCCCAAAGGATCCAGGGCCACAGTCTATCCCTGCCCTCAGCCCTCTTCTCACTGTAGCCTTGCAATTCCCCCTTTTCAGAGACGCGAAGGCTTAGTTGCAGCAAGCACAGAGAGGAGAGCTGCTGCTAAGGTAGGGGCAATGTCCTAAGCCCAGTAAAAGCCTGGGAACTGGGGGCCACAGAGCAGCAGGGGTGAGAGGAGGTAAGGCCAGAGGTAACCAGACATCCCCCAGCTCACCCGCTTCAGCTTTGATAGCTGCTTCAAGGAGCTGACTTATAGGTACTCATTGTTGGCTTTGTGGGTGTGCAACCTGTGTGGTCGCTCAGAAGGGCCCTTCATTGAATGCTCTTCAGTCACCATCTTGAAATTCTTAATAATCTTAACAAAGGGCCCTGCATTTTCATTTTGAACTGGGCCCTTCAAATTATGTAGCTGATCCTGTTGGTGCACTCGTGATTTACTGACTCTTCCGGCACTTGTAGCAGCCTGCCTGCCTCAGACAGTTTGCCTATCGGCTTCCCTTCCTGGGTTGATAAGCTGCCCCCTCCCACCCACCCACCCACCCACCCCACTTCTGCTGAATTGCTCTAGTGAAGTCCTCTCCCTGCTCTGTCCCTGGCCACCTAAAAGTCCAAACTTCTATGCACACCAGCTCGGTCTCTATTCTGCAATACCTCAGGCCCATTGGTTTCCTGGCCCATGGTTCTCAGTCACCAACCCCACCAACCCATGAGATTCAAGCCTGTGGTCTTATTTCACTTGTGAATGGCAAAGCCAGAGAGTTCAGCCAAGATGGTCTCCCCCTGGCCCACTGGCTTTGTTCCTAAGTCTGCATTAGCTGGCAAGTGGGGTCTGGGCATTCTTTAAAAAGGAGCATTTGGCCTGAAGCAGTGTGGGAAAGCCCCACCACTCCCTGCCGGAAGGGAGTCTGCGTTCACAGGGAGTGTTCACAAACAGAACACAAAGCCAGAGATTCTGGGCTTGCATTTGACTCATCTGTCTGTCTCTCCCCTTGGTTGCTGGGTTACCAACCACAGGGTGGGAGGAGCCAATCCGGCTCATCCCAGGAGCTTTTGGCAGCTCAAGTTAGAAAGCAGAGACCTGGGAGCCCAGGTTGTATCCCTGGGAGGTACCATCCAACACCTGGAGAGGTTGAGGGCCAGCCATCCTCCGATGATACACAAATCCATTGCCTGGAGGCTGCAGCGAAGGAGGAGTGCCGAGCATGGCTACCAGAGAGTCTGCATTTTTCCTGTTGGCAGGACCATGTAGTGGGCACTCTTTAAATATACCCTAAGTGAGAGACAGTCCTGGCCTCGCCACTGCCAGCTGCAGGCACACAGCGACTGCTTGTTCTCCCTGCAGCTGGCCTTGAAATTGAACCCAGAATAGAGCAGCTCTGTCCCCTTGCCTCTGTGGCCCGCCCTCCCTACCCCCACCTCCATGCCAGCCTTGCCTAAGGTCCCCTCTGGATCCAAAATGCAAGAGCTCTTCCTCAAGTGCACAGCAGGCTGGTCGCCTGAGTGCTGAAGATGCTGGTGGCCTCTGGTGGAGGGGGGAGGGTGGCTGTTAGGGGCACTTCCTGTTTCCCTTATCTCCTCATAATGAGTCCTTTTACTATTTATTCATGAGGCTAAGGAGTGGGATGTCATGTGACAGCAGCTCCTGACAGTCAGCAAGATTGGGACAGGCACCATTTTTGCGTTTAGAGAGCAGTGCATGGATGGTCTGTGCCTTGTGAGAGGGGCACAGAGGGACAGAGAGGCAGGAGAACAAGGCAAGTGAGTGGCAGGTGTGAGGAGGCTGCCCAGCACCACAGGTAGCTAGCGGGGAGAGCACAGGGCCCTCAGGAAAAGCAGGAGAAGCTATGCTAAGTGACCTTCTACATGTGGCCACTGCACACATCAGCTCAGGCCTGTGAGGACCAACACACCCATCAGTTCAAGGCCAGCCACCCCAAGAATAAATCCAGGCAGGTAAATACCAAACATCACCATTCCAAACCCTACCGTAGTCTTTATTCCATAGTCACACAGCAACCTGGTTAGCTCAGCAGGCCAGGCATTATTATCCCCATTTCATGGAAAAACAAGAGGAGGCACAGAGGTTTTGAAAGATAAACAGAAGGGAAACAAATTTTTTTTTAAAAGCCTCATGCTTTGACTGCCTGTCATCATGTGTCCTCGTTTGACATAATAACCCAACGAAGCAAGAACTACCACATTTTTTAAATGAAGAAACTGAGTCTCAGATACACTGAGTCACTGGACCGAGATTTCATTGCTAACATCTGGCAAGAGAGGAGATTCTAGATCTCCTGGAATGAGTGTAGCTTGGAAGCCATAAACAGAGTTCTATCTGACTAGCGCTAGAGACTGTGAACTCAGCACTTTCTTCTTCCTTTACTGAGTGTGGGACCCTTCGATTCCCTCCCCGCTGAGGCAGCTGGGAGGGCTGCTGAGAAGTACTTTCGAGCAGAAGACAGTCCTCCTGCTCACTTGAGAAAGGAACAGGTTCGGACTGGATGGTAGGTGAGAGTCAGAGAGGAAAACTGCCTCCAAATTTACCAAAGTTGTCCTACGTAGCATCTCATTTTGACCCACAGAACTTGCAGGGCAAGTATCAATGTCCTCACTTTATGGGTGAGGAAACTGAGGTTGAGAGGTTCGGCAACTTGAGAAAGGGTACAAAGGAAAAGGGTTGCAGGGAACAGATAAGAATATATATTTAGACTCTCTGTGTGTGTCACTGATTTAAAAAAAAAAAAAAAGTTTGATGGTGAAACGGAGCTAAAATGAGATTATGCAGGGAGAGTCTCCATTAAAAGCCTCTCACACAGAATTCAACCTCTGGGGTCAGTGGCTTGTTGAGAAAGACTAAGAAACTTGATCTTCTCTTAAGTGAAGCTTACAGCCCAGTTGACATAAGAGGGAGTATAGGATTCACTTAGTGAGTGTTAAGCAGACTGGATCCAGTGGTCCTGGAGGGTCACGTGAACCAGATCATCCGGGACAAGGAGGGAGAGAAGGTGCCTTGAGATTGATTGCTCACATCACACACTAGGCCAGGGCTGGCCCAGTGAAAGGGCCTGGCCTAGTCACACAAGACTGGGGGTTAGCGCTGTTCTGCAATTAGATGAAGTAACTTGCTAAACTGTGTGTCTGAGCCTCAGTATTCTCATCTACAAAATGGAGCAAAAGGGGTAAACCTACTTCCCAAGGCTATTATAACTCAGAATAAAGTTTCAGGGTTGTTTTTTTAAGTAACTGGCAATGGTGCTAAGTGCCTCCCAGAATCTGCAAAGCAGCCTCAAGTGGCAGGTGTCGAAATCACCTTTACAAAGAAGAGGATAGAAGCTGAAAGAAGGCAAGAAGCTCACCTGAAGTCCGCAGCCTATGAATGGTCAGGTCAGGCTTCAAAAACAGATTTGACCAAAACCGGGACTTTCAGGGCAGTACTGGCACTTTAGTCTGGAGCAGAGATTCTCAACCAGGTGTGAGGCATATCTGATTTGCTTTTATTTGCATATTTTTATTTAACATTTCAGATAACATTAAAACTAGGCATGAGATTTTTACACTTATCAAAAAGAGAACACAGCCCTGACTGGTGTGCTCAGTGGTTAAGCACTGCCCCTTATACCAAAGGATTGTGGGTTGGATTCCTGGTCAAGAGCAGGTACCTGGATGCAGGTTGGGTCCCTCCCCACTATCCCTACCCTCCCTCACCCCCGCTGCCCCAATTGGGGCTCCTGTGGGAGGCAACTTATCAATGCTCTCCCTCTCCTCTCTACCTCTCTCTGTCCCTCCCTCCCTTTTTTCCACTCTCTCTAAAAATCAATGGGGAAAAAAAATATCCTTGGGCGAAGATTAAACAAAGAGAGAGAGAGAGAGAGAGAGAGAGAGAGAGAGAGAGAGAGAGCGCGCAAGAGCGCATAAAAAATATTCCAAATGCTCACCCTAAATGCTCCTTCACAGGAACACACAGGAAGGCCTGTGAAAACTCGTCTGTTCCTGGGAAGTGAGTGCTCAGTACATTGTGGCTGACCCTAATTAAGAAGCCAGCATGTCACCCTCGTGACTCTCATCACCTCTGTCTAGGGCCATCCCTCAGGGTCTCTCAGAATCTTCGGCTTCTCTTCCTTCCCAAAGCTGCCCTTGATGTTCATTTTAATCTGATTTCACCTGAATAAACAGGTGGGGGATGGGGCGAGGGAGGGACTCGGTGAGTCATCTCCGCACCCCAGGCCCAGAATAGCCTTGCACAAGTTTTTGATGTGATCATAGTTAGGTGGAGCAAACTAGGCAGGCTTCGACTGGAGCACTTATTTTACATGCTGTGGAAATTTTTCATTTTACTGGCTAAAAATAAGAGCTTCCAAAATTCCTTGATATTTCATCTGCTTTAAAACAATGTTCACAAGGGAAGGCGAGCCAGCTCCAGTAACGTGAACCTCTGCATGGGGAAAGTGAGTCCCAGTTTGGAAGCTGCCCAAAAATAATTGGTTCTCCAGTATGTTTTGGAAATCTCTGTACATCAGTTCCCCCTCCTCTTTCAACTGAGGTTTAAAAAAAAAAAAATACTACAAAGTCCTGAGAACAGTATGTCAAACACCCATTGCCCACTCACTTAGAATTGGTATTTGTCAATATTTTGTTTTATTCCCTTCAAGTATATTTTAACCAAAGAAATAAAATATTGCAGGTAGAACTGAGTTTCCCCCATTTCTTTTCACTCTGCAACTTGCATTTTTCACTCACCATTAAGTTATTGAGATC